AATAATATTCATTCATTCAAAGAGAGAGGAGTACAGAGTTTAACAAAAGAAAAATACAATATCTTCAGGAAGCAACATTATTAGTATCAGGAATGCTAGGAGTCTTCTCCGGAGGCTGCTCAGGCTGGTGTGGCTGTGGCTCGATCGGTTGGCTGGAGCCAGAGGTCGACCCAGTTCCATCGGACTGCTGATGCTGGCGAGCAGTGGGAGTCATATAACCGTCGGGCAGCTTGAAGTTACGCCTCATCACATTGTCTTGACTCACGACGCGCTCGAGGAGGCCCGACCCCCAGTCGTGGTCGACGGGCAGTTCGAGAGCGCTTTGGTAGCCGGCGGGGACCTTAGGCATAGCATCCTAGATAGCCTCCATGTTGAACTCCTCGAAGTCGTCTTCGGCTATCTGGACCCCCGCCTGCTGCATGATAGCCCCAAAACACTGGGTAGCATATTCCTGCACATCCTTCAGATACTGTGGTGACTGCTTGAAGGCAGCCACCACTTGCTCGCGATATTCCTGCAGGAAACGTTGTCCTGAATTGGTGTGGAAAACCATCCTCCGCGCTCGGAGAGCTGCCTCATCGATTAAAGGCTTGGCCCTCTACTCGAAAGCAGTGTTCTCACGTGCTCGAGCCGCCTTTTCCCCTCGAGCGCAGCCTCGAGAGCTTTTTGTTTTGCTCCTTCAGCCTCTAGCCCAGCTTTGAGGGCCTCCTTCTCCGCTCGCTCGGTTGCGAGTAACTCCTCGAAAGACTTAAGGGCCCCCTCGAGCGTCTCCTTCTCTGATCGGAGAACCATGGCTTTAGCAGCCTCTTCCTTCACCCTATCCCAAAGCTCTTGATTCCAAAAAACGAGTTCGTCTCTCTTGTTCCGAAGAAGGAGTGACCCCTACTCGATCACCGGGATGGATCGGCTCGAGCTAGAGAGGGTTCGCTCGATTATCGGAGTAAGCTCGACCATCCCCTACAGGTTATAACAAAGGAAAGAGTCAGCGCAAAAGTAATGGAAAATGAGCGAGAAGTAAGGAGATAATCAAGAAATCATGAAAGTTACCTGCGCTAGCGAGCGAGTAAGGCGGTCATCTCGGTCGTGAAGAGTATGACCATCATCAGGGTGGTCGGTGGGAAGGTCGACAGAGGGAAGAACTTCCCTAAGAAAGGAAGACACCCCCATACCATCGAACTTAGTAGTGAGAGGGTGGAGGAGCGTGTGACAATGGCGACATCTTCGAGGCGGGAGCGTTTGTTGGCCCCCTCATCCTTTTCGATGATTGGACGTTTTAGCCGAGCTTCCTCGGCTAGCTTGCCTTCAGGGGAAGCAGGTATGTGTATAACTGGAGTGGCCGAGCCGGCAATTGGAGAAGATGGTGGAGGAGATGTAGGACGTTCGAGTTGTGCAAATTGCATAGGCTGCTCGTCAACAAGAATGTTGGTCGAGGAAGGTTCCTCGACGATGGGCTCAGTAATGGGTGGAGGACGAGGATCGACCTCCATGGAAGAAGTCGTTTGCTCAGGTGGCGGCAAAGCAGAACGAGTGGATTGGGAGGTGGTCGAGTTGGCTGGTTTCGAGCTCGATCCCTCAGCAATTTTCTTTTTCAAAGGAATTTTCCTCTTAGGCAGAGGGATGGTAGGCATCTCTGCAAAAAACTTACACAGTTAAGTTAACACTGCAGCAGAAAAATCACGCGCAAGAATAAAGACAAAAATAATGCTAAAAAACACTTAACAATAAATACATGGGTCGGCCTCGATCCGGATAAGATCGAAAGTTTTCTGACTGGGGAGAAAACAAGGTTTGTGGGTAAGAAGACCACAAAAATGTAAGAGGTCCTCATCCTCGAGCAAAGTCTTCGACGCAACGGGTTTGCTATTCCATACGGCAATCTATTAGTCGAAGAGGTCGTTTGAAGAAGGTATCGAATACTCGCGGGGAAGCTCCTTAAGCCATAGAGTTGGCGTCCAAGGGAAAGCGGGTTTAGGCTCGACAAAAGAGAATTTGTCTTTCCACTTGAAAACGTTTGAGAGGGTGTCCGAAATAAAGTGGACGTCGTTGCGGCTCTTGACGTAGAGCCCCTGAGAATGTTTGAGGGTGTGTAGCAGTAATGAAAAAAGTCTAGGTCGAGCCGACCTACACGAATACGGCAGAGAATGATGAAGACGGTTATAAAACGGATAGCATTAGGAGGGAGCTAGTTTAGGGGAAGATCAAACCATTTGCAAAGGTCGAGCAAGTCCTGGCATAAAGGAAAACGGACACCGAGTTTGAATTGGATTTCGAAGAAAGTGTAGCAATTTTTTAGAGGGTTATTGTAAATATCCTGAGGACCAGAAGATACGAAAGCCCAGCCAGCGGGATGGCCGACTTCATCGGCATTCAGCCAGCCGGCTATAAGAGCGCAAGAAGAAGCCTTCTTAGAAGCGGAGGCGACTTTGATAGACTTACCCTTCTTCTGGGTAGCCTTAGAAGAGGTAGCGATAGGGGCACCTTGGAATGTAAGAGGAGCAGTGGTGGTCGAAGATTTTGCAGCGGATTGAGAAGGAGCGCTCTTCTTAGGAAGGCTCGAAGAAGTGGCCTTATAAAAGACGGAATGATGAGAAAGGGGAACATTATCTTCGTCCTTCTCGGCGGCGGCCTCAGTGGCATCAAGAGCCGCCTCAGCAGCGTTGGAGGCCCTAAACGCCGGTCGGCGGCGAGTGAGGGGAACGTGGTCAAGAGTATCTTCATCTGATTCGTCAATCAGACGATGTGGTTGGGGAGAAGAAGAAGGTGTTGAATAATCGGAAGGGCGAAGAAAATTGAGAGGAACTGGATTGTAAATTTCCTCCACAGAGTGAGAAGGAGAGTGGGGAACAGGTCGACGAATTGGGGATGACGACGCAGTAGCAATGTGTTGACCGGAGTGGTGGTCGTTCTCATTTGAAGCAGCAGAATTTGAAAAACAAGAAAGAAAGAAATCAAAAAAGGGATTTTAGGCTGTTCCAAGGAGAAACGAAGACCAACAAAGGGGAGGAAATTTCACGGTTGGAGTACGGAGAAGATTTCGAAAATGGAGGAATTAATAGGGAGTATTGAAAAATCGACAAAATAAAAACACACAAATACAAAGGTAGAGTATAGAAGACTTACTCATGGTTGCAGCAAGAAACGGTCGCCGAAAAACGCTTGAAGAAGACGTCGAGAGCAGGGGAGCACAGATTGCAGAGGGAGAAATTAAGGCACAAGTATGTTGAGAATTGCAAAGGTGAGAAAGCTGAAAAATTGGCTAAGTACCGTATTTATAGGAGCACAGACGAATAAAGTGAAGAGTTAATGAAGATAGTCGTTGGATAAAAAGGAAGATCTAATGGTGGGGAATATTTAAAGGGCGTGGATAGCGAAGCGGCAAAAATCGCGAGAAGACGCGACGATTAAAAGTACTGAACAGAGGGGACGCGTGGCAGATGGAAACCGCATTAATGGTAAAAGGAGATGAAGGGCGGTTGTGAATGCACTACAAAATTAACCAAATGGTCGAGAGGGGAGATCAAATCCAGTCAGAAGGTCAAAAAGTCAACAAATTGAAGAGGCATACGCAAGCTCACTCTTAGATCGAGTCATTTAGACTCGACCAGAGTGGGGGACTAGATGATATGGGATATTATATGCCTAAAGAATAAATCGGTTTACCCTGTTGGTCGTACGAGCTCGATATCGGGAAAACCGCAGCGGTCGAGCAATAATCGACCAAAAGGAAGTAATCGAGCAGGATAGCAAATTTGGTCGATGATCGACCTAGCGAAGGGGGGCTCAGTCAGATTGAGCACGCAGCGGGTGAAGAGCAATCGAAGGCGTGGCTTGAACGCGAGAAAGCGCGTGGACTTCGTCAGAAAATCCCAACGGAATATGCAGGAGAATAATCACCCTCTGCCCAGAGGGGCACGTGGCGAGAGTACATTGGTGCAGAGTAATAGTGGCGATAACCACCTCTGACACACGCACACTGTGTGTGTACGGATGGGCAGCACTGGGAGGACAGCTCATCAGATCCGAGCAGCTCCTAGGGCAGGTATCTCACTCCAATATATATAGGAGTGGGTCTTTTCTTGTGACTTACGATTTATCCATTTTATACTTTGGAGAATTGAGTGAATATACACTGACTTAAGTATCGGAGGCTCTTCAACGGAAAAACCCACCGGTGTGAGAGTTCTTTGCAGGTACGCGGCGTTCTACCTGCGAGGAGGAGGAAGGCAACCCGATGTCAAGCAGTTCGGAGTGTTCTTGAAAGTTTCATATGCCTCGTTCCTCAATTCCTCGAGTTCCGAGAGCTGCAAATTCCGCTCTTATAATGCCCCATTTAATTGTGGTTTATTTGAGATTTATTTATGATTATTTGGTATTATTATAATTATTATTATTATTATTATTATTATTATTATTATCATTATTGTGTTATTATTAATTATTGCTTGTAAATTTGAATGTCTAAATATTGTATGTCTAATTGCCAATTAATTGCTAATTGTATATTTTGATTGATAATTGTATTTTAAAAATAATATACGTATTTAATTTATATTGTCCGGAGTTTTGTTTATTTTATCATGCGTTTGAATTTATATCGGGCCTGAGAATTTTCGTAGGAACCGAAATCGAGCCCGTGAGCCGATTTATTTTCGCAAACTGGCCCGTGAGCCGATTTAAATGTCTCAAACCCAGCCCAAGAGGCACGAAAATTCGGCCCAATTACTCGGGCCCAGCCCGACAGATTTTTCTCCTCTTTTTCTTTCATGCGTGAGTTTTGTGTTTGGGATTTATTTTGTCTTGGTCAACAAGACTTTTAAAACCTATTAGTATATGTTTGTCTCGGTTCCGTTCACAAATCCCAAATCCCGCAACCAGAAATCAGATTTTCCCTTCATCTTCCTCTCGTGATAATTTTTCTCATATTCAGATCGCGATCGATCATCACCGTCTCCATCTCCCTTTCTCTTTTTGCTTTCGGTTCCTATTTTCCCAGCAATTACCTCATCCTCCTTCCTTCATATGTAAATTTAAGAAATTGTTTTTCTATGTTGAAATGTGTTAAGTGTTGATGACCAAATGTGCCATGTGTTTTGCTTGTGGCTCGTTTGTTGTCTTTCACCTGCTTTTGTGTGAACTTGAATATGTGGTTTGATCGAGACTAAGTCCTAGTGTTCCCATATCCATAGAGCTTCACGAACCATTTGGTCGAACCGAGTTCGGCTAAGTCAACTTGTGAATTTGCTACATAGGTCTAGATTAAAGTGTTGACTTTAGTATCTGGACTTAATGTAGGTGTCGAGAGGTGTTGAACCTCGCCTCGTCTCGAGATTTGTGATTTGAACTGTAGCTGCTATCAGGTGGGTACATTTATGATGTATTCCATATTTATCGCATTTATTATTTCGTGTAATGTTTTCTTTTGAAAATTATTGTATGCATGAGAACTCTAGTCTAAGTGTCCCGAACGATAGTGCCTTTGACGAATGCATAACAGTGAGAGGTCACCTGCCCGTTGTATCCGGGAGGAGACGCCCTGATTCGTGTGAGTTTCGGGGGGAAAAAACATCTCCACTGTCTCCTGGAAAACATCCATGATCCGTGAGTAGTTCGGGGTGGACTCCCATGATCCATGAGTAGTTCGGGGTGGGGGAAATTTTCCAGTTACGGCCTTGCCGATGTTTAGTCGGAAGGTTGTTGTATGTACATAGGAGGTTTGTGATAGGGCCGGGTAGGGGGTTTAGGCTATGAATTCTATGCATACCGGTATTGATATTGTACACTGCGATTACTTGTTTGTAAAATTATTATACGAAATAATCGTGCGATAATGGTGAGATGGTGGTCATTATGTGTTGAAAACCTATGCTTCCGCATGAACTTGTTATTTATTTATTTGCTATCGTACTTTGGATTATTTATTTCTTAGCCTTCGAACTATGGATGAGTTTCGTTTGAACCTTGACTTCAGGCTAGTTGTTTGGAAGTGATTTTGAAATTTATGATTTGTGAGATTGCCATTTTGATAGCTCGAGCATGTGTAGGTTCATTGGATTGATTGATTGAGTGTGTTTATTTGTTGTGGTTAATAAGTAGCGCCCGTTTCTCGATAAATGTTTTAATTTGGATTTTAAAAAAAAAAAAAATAACTCTGATTTTTATTAAATAAATTTGGTAAATTCTTTAAAATAAAACGGGCCGTTACAGTTTGGTATCAGAGCTAGTCTTGCTTTTCTGCAGACTGGTTCATATGTGATTAAGTGTTTAATGACCATTCGACCACTCGCTTCGTCACGCCGCGCCAGCTCAAGGTATGAGTTTTATTGTTTTGATTATTATCGATATCGTGATTATGGTTTGTTCATTGGGGCTTAGAAATTTACCCTCCGTTTATACGGAATTGAACTCTAGTGGTATAGAGTTAAGTTGCAACTTTAGAAATGTTTGTTATGAGTTTTCGGGTTGGTGTTATCGAGTTAAGTCTATAGCAGTGCACTCGTTATGAGTTTCTGTTTAGTACCATCGAGTGAGAATCATTTATAAGCTATCTCGAAAGAGAAGGCTTAAGTAAAGGGAACAGACAAACGAAGAAGTCCCAGATGTGTGGATTATTCGGAAGTCTGTGACTATTGTGGCTAGAACTATTAGACGCGTGTAGAACCCGGTCAATGGGAACCGGGAGTGGAGTCTATGTGTCGGTTTCATGTCAATGATCCAACCACTTATGCGTGTAGATTCGTGGGAATCGGGTTAATGGTTGATTTTTCCCTTGTTATAATTTGTTTGTTATTATCCGTGAATTTCTCGTTAGTTTGTCTCGCGAAGTTCTTCGTGGGTATTAGAACTCTGTCGTTGAGTTATCGATGCCATCGTATTTTGTTATGTATGGCTGAGTTGTTACCAAATTAATTCGAGCCTTGACTTGTCACCCGAACCTTCGTCTCGTGATTGTCGTACTTTTTACGAGTTGGGTTGGAAAACCTCTTTTTTAAAACCTTTCCTTGATGACTGTTTAGTCGCTGTTTTGACCCCTTGAACTCAGTCGATAGGCTTTGAACTCTTCTGATGAGTTAAAGTTCTATCTCTTATGTTTCATCTTGAGGAGGAACCAAGTCTTTATCAATTTTGTGTTGGAAGTGTGGCCAAAGTTTTACGAGTGCACGCCCAGTCTTCTAATTTTTCGGTTTTGTGGGTGATCTGTTTCCATGGCTGTTTTTAAACCCTGAAACCTCGTCGTTTCTTTGTGAAGTCTTCTTGTAAATTTTAGATCAGCCTGTTGCCTTCCATGAGGAACAGGAATCGCGTGTTTGTTATTTTCCTTTATTTATCGATAATTGCGCCGGAAATCCGATCATTGCATAGTCAGTTTTTTTCGTGTAAATCGCAACAGTTGGAGTCTTTTATTTTCGCTATTTTTGGCATGCTTCTGGTAATCTGGGAACCTCGATGTCTTCATATGAATTGTAGTTTTGTCTCTTACGATTCAAACGGTGCAAGATTCATTCAGGGGATGCGTTCAAGATACGAACTTCGTACAATCAGATTTCTGGAAATTTGCAGCAATTATTAATTTGCGAGCTTGATCCGTTTTCAACCCTTTAACCTACCGCTCACGCCTTGCTACCGTAGTGCTATTCCTTTGTCCTTGATTACTACCTTTCGCTTAGTAGTCAAGTTTGAATTGTATTTCGTGACCCATTCTTATTATTTGATTTTCGTTCCGTGTCAAATTTGCTTGAATTTCTTTTCCTTGTGGAGAATTTTGGGATGGAGTTGAGCATCGAACCTTAGTTTCTATTGATCCTTATCTGATATCGAACCGTGTGCAGTAACTTCGCTAAGTCGGTGCGAAGGTCAACTTGAGAATCGTCGCATACCTGATCGGGAGGAGCCTCGACACCTTTCTAGGGATGTTTGTTGTAGGAGAATCTTTTAAGGAGGGTATTCGAGCCAGATGTAAGCTCATCGTGCGGTGCAGAGCCGTCTTCGTTTTCGAATTGCATTCATAGTTATTCTTTGAAAACTCTCGTTCTTTTTCCCTTCGGAGTTTCGAGAGTGATCCTTTGTATGTCTTTGACTTTTTGCAATCCTTTGAAAACTCTTGTTTTTGATTCGTTGGAGTTTCCACTTCAAGATTTGCAACCTCATGTATTGATTAAGACGAGTACTTTCGTTTTACCGCTTGTCTTATATCGTTTCTGTCGATTTTGGGGATGCCATTTCAGTCTGGGTACTCCATTCATACCCGGATCGGCCTGTCGTGTTTTATTTTTATCGTTGATGACCTATATTCGAGACGCGATCGAGACGAATCAACCAAGGAGGCTTCGTGATGAGATCCAGAGATGTGATAGTCTTAGCAGAGTAGAAATTGAGCTCGTTTAGGACTATCGGCACGTCTAGCTACTGGAGATAGAGCTGACGTGACGGCTGACACTGTTAGTCGGAAGAGTCATGCGAGCTGATCATTTTCATTGCTCGGCAATGACCACTGTGTAGGGGATGATTCCTAACTGAGGATGCTGATATTCGTTTTCTTTCGATATGATGATTTGGAAGCCCTGAACCATTCGAGATTGTCGATACCTAAATGCTAGAGGATGATGTCTTTGTTATATTCTAATGTTTCTTGGTTTTGTGAAAACCTTTTCCTTTCGGGTTACTTCAGATAGTGCGAGTTTTGAATTAGAGTAATTCTTTACTGTATCTCGAACCGAATGTCGACGCTGACTGGGTGTAGTCACGCGAAGTGGTGGTCGAGCACGCGAGCCTGTGCTAAGAGACGTGAGGCACTGCAGGGCCGATCATTGACTCGCAAGAGAGCTGCAGCCACCATCACCGAACGCAGGAGCTCCCCTAGTCAGTGTGTGGCCGAAACCTTGACCTTGCAACTGTTCTCCGAACAGATGTACGCTCACGTCCCAGCGCCCCGCTTATGCAGCGCCAGTGTGTGTGACATCTCTCGGGTGACAGTGCATTAAACCTTGGACTGGTATGTCCTTTTAGATAGATATAATGGGATCGTCGAGCATCCCTATTTGAGAGTCCGTGTCTGCGATATAAGTTTGTTTTTGAATGTCTAATCGATACTTTCTAAACCGCATACGAGTTGTTACTCGTGTCGGCAAGGAATGAGGCTTTATCAACGATATCGAACATGATATGGGATATTATATAGTGGAGGAATAGACCAAAAATAATAACAGAACTGGTCGAGCAACCTCGAAGTGGAGAAAACCGGATGGGGAGAAGGATGATCGACCAAAAAGAAGGAGATCGAGAAGAATAACAGAACTGGTCGAGGATCGACCAAAAGGGAGGAGATCGAGCAGAATGGCAGAACTGATCGAGGATCGACTAAAAGGGAGGAGATCGAGCACTCAACGGGTGAAGAGAAGTCTTGAGCGTGGCTTGAACGCGAGAAGGCGCGTAGGTGACGTTAGAAGATCCCAACGGCCTGCGCAGAAGAATAATCTCCCTCAAGCTTAGAGGGACACGTGGCGAGAATATATTGGTGCAGAGTGATAGTGGCGAAAACCACCCCTGACATCTCTGACACACACACACTATGTGTGTACGGACGGGCAGTACGGGCAGGACAGCTCACCAAAAGCCGGGCAGTTTTTAGGGCAGGTATCTCACTCCTATATATATAGGAGTGGGTCTTTTCTTGTAGCCTACGATTTATCTATTCTTTACTTTGGAAAATTGAACAAACATATACTGACTTAAGCATCGGAGAATCTTCACCGGAAAACCCCTCCGGTGTGAGAGTTCTGTGCAGGAACGCGGCGTTCTACCGGCGAGGAAGAAGGAGGCAAGCTGATTTCAAACCGCTCGGAGTGTTTTGCGTAACCATTTGGCACCGTCTGTGGGACTTTCGTTCGAAAAGTGGTGTGCTGAGATTTCCGAAGCTCGGTGGCTGTGGCGGACGAAATTCCTAGGAGAGATTTACAAACATCGTTCGACGAGGCATGGACGATGACGAAGCCGTTTGGAGAAGGCCCTCCTCTGGG